TCAATTTTATTTATTCTTTGAAAAACCAACTCTTTGGTTCATTGATTTTTGTATTGTTCTCTTAGTCTCCATTGCTTTGATTTCTTCTCTGATCTTTATAATTTCCTCTCTTGTATGAGCTTTGGGTTTGTTATGCTCTTCTTTTTCTAGGAGCTTGAAGTTCTGCATTAGGTTATTTATTTAAGTTCTCTCAGTTTTCCTAATATGGGCATTCACTGCTATGAATTTCCTGGGTAGAACTACTTTCATTATGTCCCATAGATTCCTGTATGTTGTACTGGCATTTTCATTTACTTGTAGAAGCTGTCTAATTTCTTCTTTAATTTCATCTGTGACCCACCGGTTGTTCAGGAAGGTGTTATTCAGTTTCCCTGTGTTTGTGCGAGTTTGTAGTTTCTTATGTCATGTTCTCCAATTTTATTGCACTATGGTCTGATAATATACAGGGGGTAACTTCACTTCTTTTACATTTACTTAGACGTGTCCTATGACCTAGCATGTGGTCTATTTTGGAGAATGCACATGTGCAGCTGAAAAGAATGTATATTCTTGTTTTGTGGGATGGAACACTCTGTAAACATCTATTAAGTCCATTTGTTCAATAGCTTGCTCCAATTCTAGAATTTCGTTGTTAATTTTTTGTCTAGATGATCTGTCTATTTGTGAAAATGGGGTATTGAGATCCCTCACTACAATTGCATTAGTGCTTAGTTGGTTTTTCATGTCCATTAATATTTGTTTTGTATATTTCTGTGCATTCATATTTGGTGCATATATATTTATGATTGTCATCTCTTACTCTTGGACTGTTCCCTTCCCAAGGATGTAGTAACCATCTTTATCTCTCTTAATTAATTTTGATTTGAAATCTACTTTGTCTGCAAATAAAATTGCTACCCCTGCTTTTTTCTGGGTTCCTGTCATGTGGAGAACTCTTTTCCATCCTTTTACTTTAAGTCTATGTATTTCTTTTTGAGTTAGGTGTATTTCTTGTATACAGCATATTGTTGTATTTTGCCTCTTAATCCATTCTGCCAGTCTATTTCTTTTGATTGGTGAATTGAGAGCATTAACATTGATAGTTATAATTGATATATATTGGCTTATAATGGTCTCATTGTTGGCTCTTTTATTTCTTTTTTTTCCCTCCCTTTCCCTGTAGTTTCTTACCTTGCCTGGTGGCTTCCCTCTGTTGGACCTCATGGAGTTGTGACCTTCACTGTCTTTTTCTAGGATATTGCTTAGG